AGTAAATCCCAAGCAGGTTCCACACAAAGATACGTGCAGAGATATGTATGAGGACCTAGGGCAAAATTAACAGTCGGGCACTCAACCGACCTAGCCACCAGGTGCCCAAGAAAACAGCTTTTTGTAAATTTATCCTTGAATGAAAATTTGGCAGGGCATGGGATTTTAGATTCAAAATTATCTCTGTGGGTATTCCTTCTTTGTCTTTCATCATTTCTTTCTGCATATGAAAAGTCACATGTCCATTTTATTATTATCTTAGGTATTCTCTTAATTGCTGAAGTGATATTGCTATGCTATAAGAAAACAGTACTTGTAAGTATTTCATCACAAGCGTTGCCTTGTTAAAAAAAAAAAAAAGCATTATAAAATAATGTGTATAACACAGTTTTGTGTTTCTCTTTCTAACTGCTTTGTTCCCACACTTTAGAGCCGGTGTCTTCCTCTGCTTTATGTGGTCAGTTCATTTCACCAGCTCTTGCTTCAACTGAATGCTCTTCAAAAAGGGGATGGGGGTTAGTAATCTCATCAGTATGACTGATCCATTTCCCTGCCAAATCAGTCACTCTGCTGTCCTTATCAAACTCCAGACCTTCATTTTCCTGAGCTGTTAGGATGTGCGTCCAAAAGCTGGTTTCTCTGATCTGAAGAATTTTAAATCTTCCAAAAATGTCTCAAATTGTTGTGCTTAATGATTATAGCTTTCACTCACTTACTGTGCTCTTACCAAATTACTCTACCTTGGACGTTTACATTTAAAGTAGAGATGCACATTCGTTGTGAATCTCTCCATCTTTGACTTCCTGAGCACTCTCCTCCTGGCCTGCCCTTATGTTTAGAGAAGTTCTGTCAGGCTTCGGTCTTGGCCTAATTTCTTCTACCATCATCTTGAAAGTTCCTGTTTCCACAGATTCTTCTTTCTTTCTTCTTTTTTTTTTTTTTTTTTTACTCTTGTGGCTGTTTAAAATATATATGACAATATTATTTGTGGAAAGTCACTCCAGCCAAAACGGACAGTTCCAGCTGTATGTTCAACAGTCACTTCACAGTGTGCACAAAATTTAACTCATTGCCTCTTTCTGCCCAACTGATTCTTTTTTTTGGTTTTCCCAATTTCTTTTATAGAATAGTGTTAGTTGGCAAAATACAAACGTTTCCACACACCACAAACGGATCCTACTGTATAGCTAGGAGATAGGAAGCTTCAGTTCATGTTTGAGTTGGGAGATCATGGTCAAAGGCAGAAGCAGCTGGGAGCGCATCCCAGAGCTGGAAGTCAGGAGGGAGTTGATGGAAGAGAAAAGATGGCGCGGTCATAGTGCAAAGGAACGGAAGGTCAGGTGGGCTCTGCCACAAGCACAGGTGCTCACACTGATTGGGGAGAGATGGGGGAGAGGTCTGGAATCATGGGGTCCAAGTACTGGCACTGGGAGTAAAAAAGAAGGGACTTGGAATGTGTGCAGGAATATCAGCAACTCAGAGGAAAAGAAAAGAATCCCTTGTGTGCTTGTGCTGAAAGCACATGAGAAAACAAGCAGCTGAAATCAGGTGTTCTAAAAAAGAAGGAAAGGGAAAGGAGAAAGAAAGAGAAAGAGAGAGAGAGAGAGGGAGAGAGAGAGAGAGAGAGAGAAAAAGAAAGAAAGAAAGAAAGAAAGAAAGAGAGAAAGAGAGAAAGAGAGAAAGAGAGAAAGAAAGAGAAAAGAGTGAGAAAGAGAGAGAGGAAGGAAGGAAGGAAGGAAAGAAAGAATACAGTATCACAGAATCTAAAGATACCTCTCCCAGTAGTGCTTTCTTCAAGAATGTGAACATACAGGGCACCTGGGTGCCTCAGCTGGTTAAGCGTTCAGGTCACGATCTCGCGGTTTGTGGGTCTGAGCCCCACACTGGACTCTTGGCTGACAGCTCAGAGCCTGGATCCTGCTTCAGATTCTGTGTCTCCCCCTTCCTCTGCCCCTCCCCAGCTTGTGCTCTGTCTATGTCTCTCTTTCTCAAAAATAAACAAACCTTAAAAAAATTTTTTTAAATATGAACATACCAAGCCAGTAGAGACTTTTGAACTAAGCACGAGTAACACTTTCACTGCTCCTCAGCATAAAATAAGCTTTTATCTTCATTTGATAACAAAAAGATGTTATTCAAGATGCATACAATGCTAACACAAGAAAAAATAGAATGTGTAAATTGACACTTTTTCAGCTAATGTCACTACTCCTCCCCCAAACACAAAGTAGAGAGTACAGCTTTCCAGTATTATATGTTTCAGATAGGAAAGACCCTTAAACCCCAGAGACGCAGAATAGAAATGGAAAAATAAGTAGATATAAAATACAAGCAAGTTAACTCAGGAAAGAAATGATGAACAGCAAATCACCTCAGAATAGATTAGATTACAGTGTGCCTCGGGGAGAAGATGAATGAACGCATGATCAATGATACACAAGAGGAATGGGAAAGAGACCCCAGGGAGTGCGAGGGGAATAGAAATAGAAGATAACATAGGACCCATCAATAACGAAACCTAAAACTAATATTTAATCTGATGAAACTTTCCATAAAGAAAAGGAAAACTGAATTACATATTGAAAAGACTCTCTGTGTGCAAGAGAGAACTGACCCAGAATGGTAAGCACCAAGAGAGATTCTAGTAAAACTATTCGACTTAAAAGTAGAGGGGGAAAAAAAGAGTCCTCTAGGCCACAAGGAACAAAGTCTATACCACTTGGCAAGGAAAGAAAATAAAATTGACGAAACTCTTTCCTTTTTAAATTGGCATAATTCTTATTAGCAACATATATATAAAAGAATAGCAGAACGGTGTTTTTAAGAAAGATATGTGAAGTTTTCTTTCCTCAAGTTTTCACATTTCAGATTCTATGAAATATAAGCAATGACTAGAGGAAATTTCATAGCCTTACAGAGTCCTATCAATAAAAATGAGAGAATAAAAATAATTAGCATTATAGTTCTAGCCATTACCAAACTATGTAGGTACTATGGGAGTTAATCTCCCCCGTCTCTCAATAATTATTAATTTCCAATTATTTTTTGCCCCCACTGCTGTTAATTTTTTTTTAATGTTTATTTTTGAGAGAGAAAGTGTGAGTGGGGAATGGGCAGAGAGAGAGGGAGACACAGAATCTGAAACAGGCTCCAGGCTTTGAGCTGTCAGCAGAGTGTGACACAGGGCTCGAAATCACGAACTGTGAGATCATGACCTGAGCTGAACTCAGATGCTTAACCTACTGAGCTGCCCAGGCGCCCCCACTGCTGCTACTTTACATGTTTATTGCTTATATATGCCTCTTAATTTTCTAACACTCCATATTTCTGATGTGCATTTGCCTCCTCTTTAGTGGTTTTGTTTTGTTTTGTTTTTTAAACTTTGAGAAAGTGCGAGCTGGGGAGGAGCAGAGGGGGAGAGAGAGAATCCCAAGTGGGTTCTGCACTGAATCCTATGCGGGGACTCAATCTCATGAACCAGGGGATCATGACCTGAGCTGAAATCTAGAGTTGGACACTTAACCAGCTGAGCCACACAGGCACCCCTTTAGTGTTTTCTAAGCTACCAGGCTACTCCTATAGCTCTAGTACCTGCATGGATCACTTTAGTAGCTCTGTTATCTGTTTCCATCTACAAAGCGAAGGGTTGAACATCCCAAAGATGTGCAAGACAGTCCACATTGTGTAAACTAGCAGACTATTGTTAGTTTTCTTTCTTAGACATAGAAGTAAAACTTGGCAATTTTTAATAAACAGGTTATACATATGTATATTAATAACCATGTACCAGTGCAGTGGGTATGCAAAATTCATGTTAATGGTCCAGAGACACATTCAAAATATTCCATATTCTGTCACCTTCTAACTAATCTTTGTCCAACACCCTATTTTTTTTTTTTTTTTTACAAATAGTTTATTGTCAAATTAGTTTCTACATAACACTCAGTGCTCATCCCCAAAGTGCCCTCCTCCATGCCCATCCCCCCCTCCCCCCCACATCCATCAGTCCTCAGTTTTTGTCAGCATTCAAGAGTCTCTCATGGTTTGCCTCTCTCCCTTTCCCCCACCATTTCCGCCCTTCTTCTCCCCCTTGTTCCTCCGTCAAGTTCCTCCTAATCCTCCTAGACGTGCAAACATATGATATTTGTCCTTCTCTGCCTGACTTATTTCGCTCAGCATAACACCCTCAAGGTCCATCCATGTTGCTACACATGGCCAGATTTCATTGTTTCTCATTGCCATGTAGTATTCCATGGTATAGATAAACCACATCTTCTTGATCCATTCATCTGTTGATGGACACTTAGTCTCTTTCCATGTTTTAGCTATTGTGGAGAGTGCTGCTATGAACATTGGGGTACATGTGCTCCTATGCCTCAGCATTTCTGTATCCCTTGGGTAAATTCCTAGCAGTGCTATTGCTGGGTCATAAGGGAGTTCTATTGTTAGTTTCCTGAGGAACCTCCACACTGTTTTCCAGAGGGGCTGTACCAGTTTACATTATTCTTATATCAGACTGTCTTTGTAATTTTCCTAAACTTGCCATTTTTCATGCATCCATCCATGCCTTTGTCAATTCTGTCTTCTTTGTTCCCAACATTTCCATTGGTCAGCTTAACCTAGTAAAATCTAACTTGATAATACAAAATGCAAGTAACCACCCCCTTTTGTGACCATCTTCTGTCTTGTACATGTTTTGGAGAGAGCACCTGCTACGCATATTGCATTTAAGTATTTACATCTCTGTCCTTGTCAGAATGTGTTTTCCTTGACAGTGGGGAATAGTTGCTTTCATTCATCTGTGTATCTCCCGGCAGGATTCCAGGCATGGAGCGGTAGCTCAGCAAATACATAGTGAGCAAGTATTTTATTTATGTGCAGAGTACTAATCTTAACTTTCTAGAGTAAACTTGATAGCACATTAAGAGCCAGTTCACAGGTGTCTTTTCATGGTACTCCACTCTGAATACTTCAGTTTGAACTGAAATATGCTGTTACAGGGACCAGTAACGTTCAAGGATGTTACTGTGGAGTTCACCCAGGAGGAGTGGCAGTTACTGAACGCTGCTCAGAGGACCCTGTACAAGGAAGTGATGCGGGAGAACTACAGTCATCTAGTCTCAGTGGGTGAGAAAAACTTTCCCATATGTAACTGCCAGGAGTTTGCATTTCTTTCCCAGTTGGCGCAACATGTAAGGTCCCTGTAGAGCTGCATAATGTTAGCTTTGTTTCAGGGGTCAAACGTGATGAGGCCCTTTTGGGCACCAGAAAAAAAAAAATGTGTCCCCACGCTCACTAGTGAAAGAATCTGAATTTGCTAAGCCAAAGTAGGACCTTCAGTGTTCTAAAACTGTACTTCCTTATCCTTCACAGGCCCTAAATCCCAAGTAAACCGTATTATTTTCTTTTCTTTAGGTTACCGTGTGAATAAGCCGAATGCAGTCTTCAAGTTGAAGCAAGGAAAAGAACCATGGATACTGGAGGTGGAATTTCCAGGTCGGAACTACCCAGGTGAGTGAGAACATAGTCCTTGTTACTAGTGAGGTGGTTGGTGCCTTTTGCCTTCTGAAATATTTTTCAGGACTTTCTTAAATGCCCCTATACATCTGGAAATAACAGACAACACTTGATCTGCATATGCAAGCAACATAAATCACATCTTCAGTTTTCATTCTTTTCACATAAATTCCTCCTTTGACAGACTTTATAAAATATGCAAAATCTAATTCCGGCCTAACCTTGTCTTAGATTTTTGTCTTTTTTCTGGAATTCCCAATTATTCCAGTACCTGGGAATTAACTGGGAATTCTAGAACACCATAATCTTAAAGTATTAAATGTTAACAATTCTTTTTTTGTTTTTAGTTTATTATTTGAGAGAGTGCGTATGCGCACATGAGCAAGAGAGGAGGAGAGAGAATTCTAAGCTGGCCCCATGCCGTGAGCACAGAGCCCAATGTGGGGCTTGATGTCACGAACTGTGAGATCATGACCTGAGCCAAAATCAAGAGTCAGATGCTTAACCAACTGAACCACCCAGTCGCCCCTCAAGTGTTAAATCTTAAATCTGACCATAATTTTTATTCGAATGCCATTTCCCTCCTTTGATTAACAATAAATATGCCTCAGTTATTTTCAGCACAAGTTTTATTAACTTCCTATTCTCTCTTTAAACTTTGAAGTTAGATTACAAATCATTATGCCTTTCATCAGTTATATTATTTCAGAGTTGATACTTCCTTTTAGATGGTGCTTGTCTTTCACACAAGTACTGATTATCCCTCCTAAAATCTGTATCTTTTTTGGAGTATTGTAACACTAAGATAAAAAAAAGCAAAACAAAACAAAAACTAACAGAAAAACACTAAGATGATCTCACTCTGTTACTTAAATGCTTTTCCTGTACTTGTGACCTTGCGTATTGCCAGGACTGGAAACAATGCGTGGTATTTATTAGTTGTTTACTAGATATTTGTTGAACTACTCAATTTGAACTAACAAGAGACAGACCCTTTCTTCTCCTCTGTGCCCTTCACAGTAACTCCTGCAAGGGCTCATCCTTTCTTAAGACCAGAGACACATAGGCTCTTGTTTCCTGCGCATCTCACTTAGCCTTGCACGTGTCCCCATCAAGTAACTTTGGAGGTCTTCCCCACAAAGGCCATGAAATCCCTACCCCAAGCCTCTGCTCTTTATCTTTCACCTCCCTTCAGGCATATAAAGGGGAGTAAATGGGGCACCTGGGTGGCTTAGTCGGTTAAGCGTCCGACTTTCGCTTAGGTCATGATCTCGCGGTTCGTGGGTTTGAGCCCCGCATCGGGCTCTGTGCTGACTGCCAGCTCAGAGCCTGGAGCCTGTTTCAGAGTGTGACTCCCTCTCTCTCTGACCCTCCCCTGCTCATGCTGTCTCTCTCTCTCCTAGAAATAAATAAAACATTTAAAATAAATAAATAAATAAAGGGGAGTAAATACGAAGGTCAGTAAAGATGCCAGGATGACGTTGAATAATTAATCTTTAAAGATCATGTAGTAAATTGAAGCAGAAATGTCAAAACTAAGATAGGAAAGCAGTAGAAGACTGGCATTGGGTTGTGGTAACACTGCTTTGGAGATGCAGTATATTTTGGTGGTCAGGCCTGAAAATCTCTGTGCTACAAATGCAAATTCATCCTGTTGTAGGATGGCTTGCACACTGCTCTTTAATTATCTTTTCTTTGGGATGTATGTGTTCCTGGATCTTCCATCCCAGTGAAATTATGCCAGTGAGATGGAGAGAGCCTGGGGTGTGGAACTGTCCTCCACACCTGAGGAAACATGTTGTGATGTAGTCACTTTAGGGACTAGACTAGGCATCCAGACTAGATGCCTCTGTTGGTACTGAGGAAATAAAGTTCAAGTTTATAGTCACTAATGAAAAGTAAATTAAATTAAATTCCATCTGACAGAGACTTAGCTTTTCATCCAGTTTCATCTTTCCCTGATATTTCCAGTGAACACAGTTGTCTACTAATTTTTCTTGTCACCCTACTTACTGTTCATTGTCTGGAATAGGCTTACAGCATTCTGAGTCCCAGATTGTCCCAGATTCTTATTCAGCACTCTGAATGACATTTGTTCTCTGCTCCCATTTTTTTCTTTTTTCTCCAGGCTCTTAAATTATCTTTAAGTGTCAGAGTATTTGGGGTTAAAATGACATTTCTTTCCTGTCTGCTACAATAGCTTTTAGTGTTTATATTTTTTCTAAACCAATGGCATAGAAGAAATTTGCATTTAAGAATTCCTTTATTGGGAGAGATTGGCCTGAAGTCCAAGAATGAGCCCTACAACCTTAACTTAATATGTTAAGATTTAAATGGTATTAAATTTTGGATTCCTTTGTAGAAGACCTGTGGAAGATTCATGACTTAGGAACAAGATCCCAGGAAAGCCAAGCTGAAAATTCAAGGCAAGTCCAAGATTTCGATTTTAAGATTAGAAGCCTTGTAAAAACAGTGTTGATGGGAGTACTAGAAGTGGGAAAGCACTAGTTCATACTAAATGTGAGGAAACTAACACTGGAGTGAATTCCAAAGAATTCAATCCAAATGGGACAGCCCTTTTCCCCAGTGGAGGTCTTCTGTAGGACCAGGAGATTCAAACTTTGAAGCAGTTTTTCAGTTCTTCAGTTGCACAGTAAGGGAGCCTTTGTTACCCAAACAGATCTCAGGCAATTAAGAGACTCTGCATACAATGCAAAGGAAGGTTCCTTCTACTTGGTGTTAAACCACAGTGTGTGTCAGAACATTCACAGTAGACAGACTATGAATCTAACCAGTATGGGAACATCTCTAGAAACAAGTTCTCAGCTAGAGTGCCTTATGTATCACTGACTTTGGAAATTTCTCTCTAGGAATGGAGAACTCACAAAACCCCAGCAAACTCCTGCCAGAGAGAAAATCTATAAATGCAGTGAATGTGGAAAGTCCTTCTGCCAGAAGTCTATCCTCCTAATACATCAGCATACTCACTCAAAGGACAAACCCAGGGAAGGTGAGACATCGGTCCCTAGAAATGGAGACCTCACAAGACAACAGAAAGCCCAAACCAGAGAGAAAACCTATGAATGTAAAGAATGTACGAAAACCTTCTACCACCTGTCCTCTCTTAGTAGACACTTGAGAACTCATGCAGGAGAGAAACCCTACGAATGCAATCAGTGTGAGAAATCCTTCTACCAGAAGCCACACCTTGTAGAACATCAGAAAACACACACAGGAGAGAAACCCTTTGAGTGTAACGAGTGTGGGAAGTTCTTCTATGTTAAGGCATACCTCATGGTACATCAGAAAACACACACAGGGGAGAAGCCGTATGAATGCAAGGAATGTAAGAAATTCTTTTCCCAGAAATCACACCTCACGGTACATCAGAGAACACACACGGGGGAGAAACCCTATAAATGTAAGGAATGTGGGAAATTCTTTTCTAGAAATTCCCACCTCAAAACTCATCAGAGAACTCACACAGGAGAGAAACCCTATGAATGTAAGGAATGTGGAAAGTGCTTCTACCAGAAGTCAGCCCTCACAGTGCACCAGCGAACTCACACAGGGGAGAAGCCCTTTGAATGTAATAAATGTGGAAAAAACTTTTACTATAAATCAGACCTCACTAAACACCAGAGAAAACACACAGGGGAGAAGCCCTATGAATGTCAAGAATGTGGTAAATCTTTCTCTGTGAATTCAGTCCTTAGATTACATCAAAGGACTCACACAGGAGAGAAACCCTATGAATGTAAGGAGTGTGGGAAATCCTTCTCTCAGAAGTCCCATTTTATTATACATCAGAGAAAACACACAGGGGAGAAACCCTACGAATGTCAGGAGTGTAAGAAAACTTTTATCCAGAAATCAAAACTCACTGCCCATCAGAAGACACACACGGAGGAAAAAAGCTTATAAACAGTATGAATTGGGAACTTCTTTCTGAATCATCCTTTCGAATAATCAGATGATTCACACAAGACCAAAAAAAGTAGGAATATCATCTAAATGGTAAAGTTTTGGTCAAAATTTTTGGCAGAAAGGAAATAACACAGAAATTCTTTGAATCTAGAAGGAAGAAATTTTTATCACATGTCAGACTTTAGTATCAGACACCCTACAAATTGTAAAGCATGAGAGAGACCTCTCTTATAGAAGTCACAATAATACTGTACAACATGGAAATCACACAAGAGAAGAACTATTAAAAAAAGAAATGAAGATTGGGAGCTTTTCATCAGGGCAGCCATCACTAGACCACCTGAAGCTCATATGAATGAGAAGCTCCTGACCGTGTAGTTCCTGAGCAGGTAGCCTCCGAACACTCGGAGGGGTAACTAGAGATTGACACAGATCCAGGAGCCCTTTTTGAGAAGTGGTGTCTCTGTGACCTTCAGATGAACGACGCCAGGATAGAACCTTGGCAGACGTCTCAAGTATTGTCAGGGTTTCCTGACAAGAACTCAGAGAATCTGTACTGGGTGAGAGTCAGTTACACCGGAAGTCACGTTGCGGCGACTGGATTCTGAGGGTGGGGTTCTTTTTTTCTTTGAAGAAACCTGCAAATGTCTACATAGATAGATGAAGCTTTTTCAAAAGCACAAACACACTAAAAAGTCAGGTGACATCCTTAAACCCACGTGAAAAGCTTTTTAGTAAGTAGAGCTGACGTGTGTCCGCGAGCTACTGCGCAGGGCACGGATGTCTGTGAGTACACGCATCCCATCTGGAACTGTACACGGAAGTGCGTAACTGCGGCGCCGTGGCTGGCACATACGTGAGCTGACCTTACATCGCCTCACAGCATTGACTCCTATTGTTCTAGTGTGTATTTTAAGTGTAATGTTCTTTTAAAATTTTAGGCATCTTTTTCTATTTCCTGGCATTTTTAAGTGAATACGGATGTTGTTACTGAGCTAATTCTTCAGAAAGGAGCTAAAAGTCTTTTTTGTAAAATTCTCCAATTGTCTTATGGTCAGCCAAATTTTACATTAGGAACACGTTTACTCATAAGAAAAGACTGAGTTTATTTTTAAAACCAGCTAATGACAACAGTATGATAAAAACGAATAATGCTGTGTAAAGAAGTCGTGTCTGTCGTACTGTGGATGTCTTAGCAGGGTGCAGAGCTATCTGCATGGAAATTTTGTGTGAGGAAGAATGTTCTTCACTACCTTTTTCCTCATAGTGGAAGCAACATGGTAGTCATTAAGAGTGTGGACTCTGGACTCCTACTGCCAAGGCTCAAATTCACTGGGGCGTGCCACTTAACCTCCCTGTGCCTCGGTTTCCTTTTCTATAAGAGAAGTGAGAATGTTAGAATTGCTTTGAGGTATGAATTAATATTTTTAAAGCACTTAGAATAGTATCTGAGACACAAGAAAAGCATATATTCGATATGACTATCATAATTTCTATTTCTTGAACTATGCTGGGAAAAAAAACATGGTTGGCTACCAACAGTCACCACTCATGCTATCGCTGTAGTGCCTTGGTTTGGCTTGGTTGTGCATTTTCCTACAAATGACTCACATACTCAGATGTGACCCACTGCCTGTTTTTGTAGCCTTACAAGCCAAGAATGGTTTTACATTTCTAAATGGTTGGAAAAAAAAGAATATTTTGTGACATGTGCCAATTATATTCAGATTTCAGTGTTCATAAATAAAGTTTTATTAGAACACTAATAAACTAATAAAACAGAGACCGCTGTCTCGGTCTTGCCGGAGGCTGCCTTCAGCACTTCAAGAAGAGAACTGAATAGTTCCGACGGAGACCATATGGCTCACAGAGCCTAAGGTAGTTACCGTCTGGCACTTTACAGAGTTAAGTTTTTCTGTTACTTAGGACTGAAAACATAATCAATGTATACAGTGTGCTTTTATATATGCTACATACTTCAGAAGTGATGCACACAGCATTTTGTGGGTGGGTACAGTGTATTTATTTTGTATGTTGTATTTATATGTTAAAAGCCTAAGCATTAGAAATTTTTTCAAAGAAATGGCTTTTATTTGTTGAACTGTCATAAAATCCAAACATTTTATGATGGAATGTAGCAGTACATGTATGAAATAAACACTAAGTTAAATAGAATTGTTAATTTGTGCCTACTTAAAATATTCCTTTATTTTATTATAAGTCTATGGCCAGATTTCCCTGTATGATTTTATAATTTTCTCACACTCCCATGATATAATACCTTCTTTATGTCATACTTAATATAATTTAAAAACAACAAAACCCTCACAATACCCAACCCAATTCCACCAGGTACATTACGAATAATCTGCATTACTAGTAAAATTATTTTAATTGCCTGAACTTCATTCAATTGTCAAATGCTGCTCCAATCCAAATCCTGCCCTTACCTCCCTTTCCTAACAATGACTTTAATGATGATCAACTTCTTACGCATGCCTCATTCTCCTTTGTCTGATGTTTACCACTAATGAACACCTACTATATTTAGTGATTGCTTCATTATTTACATAACTTCCAAATATTCAAATACAAGATAGTTACCAAAATTCTACCCAACACTAACATGAGTATATCATCTTGATTATAGCCATCTTTAGAATAGTTCTTTATTTCAACCTGCTATGAAAAGCATGTATCTGGGGCGCCTGGGTGGCTTAGTCGGTTAAGCGTCCGACTTTCGCTTAGGTCATGATCTCGCGGTTCGTGGGTTCGAGCCCCGCGTCAGGCTCTGTGCTGACTGCCAGCTCAGAGCCTGGAGCCTGTTTCAGTCTGTGACTCCCTCTCTCTCTGACCCTCCCCTGCTCACGCTGTCTCTCTCTGTCTCCTAGAAATAAATAAAACATTAAAAAAATTTAAAAAAAAAAAAAAAGAAAAGCATGTATCTTTCTTAATTTCCCCTGGCTTTGCAATCAAAAATTAAATAAAAATTAGTCTTTTGTGGGGAAAGTCCAGTAACTCTGCCAACCCTGTCATTAAGAATAAAGTCTGTACTGGGGCACCTGGGTGGCTCAGTTGGTTAAGCATCCAACTTTGGCTCAGGTAATGACCTTGTGATTTGTAGGTTTGAGCCCCACGTTGGGCTCTGTGCTGACAGCTCAGAGTCTAGAGCTTACATTGGATTCTCCCTTTTTCTTTGCTCCTCCCCTGCTTGTACTGTCTCTTTCTCAAAATAAACATATATAAAAACAATTTTTTTAAGGATAGAGTCTGTACTAATGAAAATCCTCCTAAAATACTCTTGATAAGAATAAAATATTCCTGGTCTTCAAATTCAAGACATCAGAGACTGAACTGCTGCTTAGCCAGAGCCTCAAGCTATGAATTAGTAATCATAACAATTGATGGATCAGAGACCAGGGATCGGTGTGTTGTCAGCACACATGCTTATGAAGAAGACCAGCCAACCTGTCAGTTCCACATTTCTGAAAACCATTCAGCAATAGCATTCATTATGACCATCCTCTGGAAAGTCAGTCAGCTACAGCCTCACTCCAATGACCAAACTTTTACAAAGGAAAGCCAGTCAGTCACTCCCCCAACACTTCTGCTTTTAAAAGCCCACCAATGCCTGAATCCATTTCCCAAACCCTGAATCACTTCTTACTTTCCTGGACTGACTTATGACTATAGGCTTTCTCTGGTTAGTATGATGGTCCAAAGTGGACAATATCAATCCCTTCCATTCTAAAAAGAAGCTCTTTTCTTATCCTCTTCAATCTGGGCTGGCCTGACTTGCTCTGGTGTTAGCACAACATGGCAGGTTCCAGGCCAACCATATAGAAGTGTGGCAGTTTCCTCTTCCCTTCTTGAAGCTAATCCTTGTGCAGAAAGTCCAAGTAGTCTGAAATCACCAAGCTGTGAAGAAGCTCAAGCTACTAGAGGTGAAAGCCCAATATAATACAAGACATGTGAGCACAGTTGCTTTAGACCTTCTGGCCCAGCCAAAGAAGACTTCTACTAATGCCAAGTGCATCAGCCACCTACTCTACTTATAAGAAAAAACCATTGTAAAAGCCATGAAGACTTGGATGTTTTTGTTACATAGTAATAGATGGGTGAAACCGACAGAAGTTTAGAAGCCAGAAGTCAAGCTTGCTTCAGGTATTGGTTAGTCTATTCTTTCATGCAGTACATGCCACCCAACTCTTGCTGCCATGAGGAATACCACAATGACCACCGTTTAATCTGACATCTAACAAGGATTTGCCCACACACCACAATCTGCTGCCATGACAAAAAAAGCAAATCCTAGCTAAACTTCACTCTCATGCTGCTGCCCCAACCACAGCTGTATGCTGAATATTAGAAAGACTAAACCCAAGTGACAGGGGGAAATTGTCCAGACACTGTTGGACAATAAAGATTCTACCTAAGAGAGTTAACAGCTGACCAGATCATGCTTTATCTGTAAAGTTCAGACAGGGACCCTCCCTCTTCAAGCATTATAGCTCTGGACCAAAGGGGTATTTCTAACTGCCTGGCTGATTTAGGGCCAGGGAAGAACTGGGTTCTATGAGAGAGAGTAGGAGGTTGGCACTAGTTGGTACTGCATACACAAGAGGTGTACTAGTTGGTCTGCATACACAAGAGGTGCTCCAGGCCCAGCCCAGTGCTATCTCTAAGGGAGGTAGACTTTCCCTGGCCAGCAAGTTTCTACTGTTTTGAAAGTGTGTTTTTATTTTATTAACATTTATTTATTTTTGAGAGACAGAGTGCAAACAGGGGAGGGTCAGAGAGAGAGGGAGACACAGAATCTGAAGCAGGCTCCAGGCCCTAGCTGTCAGCACAGAGCCTGACACAGGGCTCAAACTCACGAACCGCGAGATCATAACCTGAGCCAGAGTCAGATTCTTTATAGAGGGTTTTAAACATTTTTTAAAAATCTCAGCACACTATAAGAAATAATTTATATTTCATGACCCAGCACACCCACACAAACTTAAATTAATTCATTCACAAAATTCTATTAAGTACCTACCATTCATCAGGAACTATTTTTAGACACTATGGAAATATTAGCAAATAGAAACACCTCTACCTTAATAACGCTTGTATCGCAGTGATGGGCAGTGTGTTAGAGGAGGAACAGAGTTCAGGAAATATAAAAAAGTAAAACATATAATGGACAAGATGGCCAGCATTATTTGAAAAAAGAAAATAGGATAATTAGAGAGAGGGGATTCAATTTTAAAAAGGTCAGGGAAGATCTCACTGAGAAAATGACATTCCAGCAAAGAGCTGAAGACTGAGTAAATGAACTCTGTGGATACATGTGGAAATATGTGATATGTAAATACATGATAAATGCAATATATATAACTATATTGACACACGTATTCATAAATGAATACATGCACTTGAAACACTGTTTCTTGAAACTATCATTTCCACCTACAATGTATTATATGTTTTACAATCAGTTCTATTTTACCATTTTACTTATTAATATGAGCACTTACTGAATCAGATTATGAGAGTTTCTCTAAACAAGTTTTTTTTTTCCCTATTTTTTAACTTCAGTTCCCTCTAAGCAATGTAGTATTCTCCAGTGATAATAAAAACTTAAACGTGGTCACACCCTCAACAACGTTTTAACACTTTCTATGTATGAGGCATTATTCTTGGTATCAGGTTTAGAGCAGTGAGCAAAGGAAAGTTCCAGGTGCTCACCCAGGTTTAATTCTAGGTGGGGAAGACAAGGTAGGGTCAAAATGTAAGAAACTTGTGGCTCACTGCAGGAAGTGCTAGGATGAAAACCTAAGAAAGCTAGGGAACTGATGGGGGCGGGTGTGTTATCAAATAAGTCCTCATTGACATTACACTTGAGGAAACACTGGAAGTATATATGGGGATGAGTCATGTCAAAATCTAGAGTAAAAGCATTAAATACAGAAGAAAAAATATTTCTAGTACATACAAATACAATTAAAGAAATATATATCCTAAAGAATATTTCTGGAAAGGATACCTTCACTACTTACAATGCAGCTTTATATTCGAGTAAGGTTTGCCCAAATCCATGGATGTCATCCTACAATTTTAAACCAAAGCTCCAGGAGTTACAAAGAGGAATGGGATTGCTGGGTCCTCTCAAGATATGGCGCCAATTCTGTTATGACCCAGAGGACAATAAAGTGGTAAGAATGTATCATGAGGGGAGCACGGGTACAATGAGCAAGCTTAGTGGGGACTGTCCTCCATAGGCCAAGACTAATGTTGGGAGATGCTGTTATAGAACTGCTCTCACAAATGCCAAGAGAGATTATGAACTCTGAAATAGAAGCTAGATGGCAAGACTCTCAGTCAAAAGTAGAGGGAGTATGATAACTATAAAGGGCTCAGGACAAAAAGGCAACGAGAAGGCCTCCACTCATAGGGGCTGTGGTGATGGCTTACGGACCACGGTGTTCCTAAGAGCGAGACAGTCACTAGCCAATGACAATAATGCCTGACTTATGTAAGTGAAAAAGACCAACACCTTCCTCACTTAGGGTGGACAACAGTACACATTTGTCGTTTTACCCCATGACAATCTTAACTCTTGTGTTCTTCTCCATCATAATATATTCCTTTTTAAAAAAAATTTTTTTAATGTTTTTATTTATTTCTAGGAGAGAGAGAGAGAGAGAGCGTGAGCAGGGGAGGGTCAGAGAGAGAGGGAATCACATACTCTGAAACAGGCTCCAGGCTCTGAGCTGGCAGTCAGCACAGAGCCCGACGCGGGGCTTGAACCCACGAACGCGAGATCATGACCCAAGAGAAAGTCGGAAGCTTGACCGACTAAGCCACCCAGGCGCCCTGATCATAATATATTCCTAAGAGAGCTTGGCTATCGTGTGATTCTGAATAATGTCTTCATCCGTTCTATGAATAACATTATTAATCTTTCATCTTAGACCCATGTTAGTCATTTCAGGCTGTTACCAAAAAAAAAAAAAAAAACATACAGTGAGTAGTTTATAAATCACAGAAATATTATTTGCACTGTTCTGGAAGCTGGGGAATTCAAGATCGGGAAGCAGCATAATAAAATTCTGGTGAGAACCCTCTTCTGGACTGCAAACCTGACTTCTCCTTGAATCTTCATGTGGAAGCAGAGAAGGGGAACAAAAAGCTTTCTGGGCTTTCTTTCAAGGACACCAAATCCACTTCACAGGGGACTCATAACCAAATCTAACTCTAATTCCCAAAGGTCCTAATTCCTAATGCCATTATGTTGGGAGGCTTGGCTTCAACAAATGAATTCTGAGGGACACAAACATTCAGTCTGTAACAGCTAGAAACCAAATGCACATATGGTTTCTAGGGCTCATAATGCACATATGACAACTATCACAAAAAGAATGGTGCCAGGGAGGAGGTAAATGGACTTTTTTGGTTGCAAGGTTTCTACCTTTTATGTGAAATGGTACATTATTAACTCTAACTAGAACTCTACACTGAAGAAGGAGTTGCTAGAGTAACAACTAACATATAATACAAAGAGATACAGAATGGGGCACCTGGGTGGCACAGTCGGTTGAGCGTCCGACTTCAGCTCAGGTCATGATCTCACGGTTCATGGGTTGGAGCCCCGCGTCAGGTTCTGTGCGGACAGCTGAGAGCCTGGAGCCTGCTTCTGACTGTG